CATCTTCAAAAGTGTTCAACATTGTTAGTAATTAGGGAAACGCATATTAAAACCACCCTAAGGTATCACCTTACACCAAACAGACTGGCTAGGATCAAGAGAACAAATAATACCAAATGTTGACGAGGATGTGGAGAAAGGGGAACGCTCATTCACTGCTGGTGGGATTGAAAACTCCTGCAACTCCTATGGAAAACAGTGTGGAGAACTCTTAAAAACTGAAAATGAACCTACCATACGACCCAGTTATACCACTCCTTGGCATATATCCAAAGAACTCATCCTATTGCAGAGACACTTGTACATCCATGTTTGTTGTTGCTCTTTTCACAACAGCTAAGAGATGGAAGCAATCTAAGTGCTCCTCAACTGATGAGTGGATAACAAAAATGTGGCATATTTACACAGTGGAGTTCTACTCAGCAGTAAAGAAAGACGAAATAATGAAATTTACAGGTAAATGGATGGATCTAGAAACTGTTATACTAAGTAACACAGAGTCAGAAAAACAAAAGACGTATGTTCTCCCTCATTTGTGGATCCTAGCACCAAATCCTTTCAATCCATGTTCTTTTAATAAAATGATGCTGTATAGCAGTCTCTTCTGTGTGAAATAACAACCATCACCACGACTTCAACTGTGCTTGCTTGCTAAACATTGTCACAATTGGGCTCTTGATGGTTGTGCTCCTTCATTAAAGGAAGGGCAAGCAGGGTCACTGGACCCTCACTGGAGTATCCAGCCACTCTTCCCAGCCAACTGTATGTACTTTGGTCCTAATCACACATGGTCTCCTGGATTTGGGGGTGACTAAAGTATATAATCTTGGGACGGCTAGGAAGAGAAGGCTTGATCCACACTGGGTAAAGGCTTTCAGGTGTGCATACCTGCAGGTTATTCATATACCTCAACAACCCCTCAGTCATCTCAGTAAGTAAGCTCAGTAAATTCGTTGGTTTTCCAGGAAAACTTTGATAAAAAAATGGTTTGACACTAGAACCTTAAAAGGGGATAAATATTGCTTAGTATCCCCAGGAAAAAAATTCTCACAAAAGAAAGAAAATTTATTTGTTAATGTTATGTCTCATAGTCATTAAAAAAGAAAATTAGAATGTAAAAGATGTTAAAAGAACATGGGAATGGAGATATTTTCTAAAATAGAAAAAATGAGAAAGCCTAAGTAAGTGATGAAGGTCCATGTAGGTTATGATATATAAAGGATGAGACAAAAATAACATACACATAATCTTAAAATTTCTAAGGTCATAGTTCAGTCAACTAGTTTAAGAACAAAATATATGTCTAGTCAAGGTTTATCTGAGAACATTTGGTTTCTGCCCAAGCTTTATCTACACAGGATATGGTAATCAAAACTACCAGACTGGTGGAACTAACCTTCTTGGATATTTAACAGCCATACTTTGAGGCCTATACTAATCTGGTCAAAGGGACTTAAAGGACAGATTTTTGCTCCTTGCCCTCCAAGGACAACTAAGTTCCAAGGGACTATGGAGAATCTCTCAAAATAGCCTGTAACTGTGGTGAGTCACCTGTCCTCTTGTTCAGGGAAGCCATGGAAACCCCACGAGATGGACCTGAACCAGTGTCGAGTCTACAAAGATGAGGGTCAACTCAGAGGAATCATTTCCTCCATGCTTCCAAGTGAAGCCAGCCACAGTCAAGCAGACCTTTGATTTATTTTTTCAAATAGATGAAACTGGTAAAAGAAAGGATCCAGGGGCTCCTCCGAAGCCCATGTGAACCCTGAGGAACAGATCCTCAAATGACATTTGATATTAATGAGTAAAAATAAATTGGTTTATTTGGGCCAACTGTATAATCTTAAACACCCAAAAGGAAAGTATAAGCAAAGGGTAAAGTCATCAGTATATTCCTTTAAGAGTTCAAGGGATTACACTTCCCAGACATTCCAGCCAACTGTATGTAATTTGACCCTAATCATACATGGCCTCCTGGATTTGGGGAGGGCTAAAGTATACAATCTGGGGAAGGCTAGGAAGAGAAGGCATGACCCATGCTGAATAAAAGCTTTCCAGTATGCATACCCTCAGGTCATACATACACCTCAGCAACCCCTCAGTTATCTCTAAGCCTTTGAGAGGGAACTGATACTGATTCTAACCACTCCAACAGCTATCAAAATACCTGAAAGCAAATCCTGAATCCGTCACTCTCGAGTCCAGCCTTGGCAGACAAAAGAAAAATGAGGAGGTACCCAATAGAGGGATGCTTTTGGAAGCTCTCATTAAGAAATTGCAATGAACTCTGATATGAACATTTGAAATTTGTTCTGTTCTGACTTTTGTTCTAGTTCCCTGTCTAGACCTTGTAATGCTAACTACTCTTGCCTTTATTTCTCCTTCACATCTCCTATTCACCAGTCAAGGACTTTCTTTTCTCCCTACAGACAAGAGTTATGCAATTTGGGACTCTTTTAGATAGACCCACTGAATGGGTACCCCAATTGTCTCACCCTGCATCCCTGCTCAGCATGAAGAAGCCAGAGCAGTCTGCGTCCTGATTCCTTATCAGCAATTTGGGTAACCTCTTCAGAAGATGGTGTGATAAAAATAGGAGGTAGGAACTGGCTAGGCAGTTAGTGTAAAAAGACCCCAAAGAAAAATAGCCAATTTCTTGGCTAAAAGTCAAAATGTCCTTGGGCCTCTTAGCAACATATTCTGTTCCAAAGGCCAAAAATGTCAAAAGTATTTGGGAGCTTTTATCTAATCTCTAAAAGATTTGGGGGTTACCTCTTCAGAAGGGGGGAATGTTAGAGAAACAAAAAGCCCCATAAAAAAGAAAGAGTACATGAAGTTATCAGAAAAAAAGTGATGGGGAGATACGGGAGGAGTTCGAGGGGAGGGAGTGGGTGTGGATTTGATCAAAACACCTTATATGCATGTATGAAGTTCTCAATAAATAAAATATTTTTCAGTGATATCCTGGGCTTAGTATTTTAAATTTCAATGGCCCCCACCCCAGTCCCAGATTAATTCTATACACATATAAGTGATACCACTTTCCTACAGAAGATACAAAGAGCAGCAGCAGCCTTTAGTTACAAAACTACATAGGTCCAGAAACAAATTATCTGTTAAGTACAAACTCGCTCCTAAGAAATCACCTATACTACACTCTAAGTGCAAGTGTTAGGACTATAGAATTAATACTGCTTTAAAGATTAGCTAGTGAAAAATAACCGTGGAAGCTAAGTCAGCAAACAGGTCTGAAAGAAATGATAGTTTCTTAAAATTGGATGAAGACATCTTCCACACAATTTCCTATCACTGAAACACAAAACACTCCATTATATTCCAAAATAGATCAGCGACACCATCGTACAGGCAGGCAAAATAAAGACCATGGAAGAGCTCTTTTCTGTCAAGATGTCTTTGTAAATGATACTGCTTATTAGATGGCTCACTTTTGGAGTCCATTTATGGCATGCAAAGTACCCAGAATCAGTTATCATGAAAATGGTATTTGTTTAACAGCAAGGGACACAGAGAGGCAGACAAAAAGCAAACACAAACACAAACACAAACTCTCTTTCTCTCGCATAAACATGAATGTCATAAAGTGAGTCTAAGTGGTCCATTCTTAATTAAAAATGTCTTTAAAAAATAATGCTGGGTATTGAATTCAGGGCCTTACACATGGTAGGCAAGTACTCTACCACTGAACTATATCCTCAGGTATCAATCTGTCTTAAAGTTGTTATTACCATACAGATAGTATTAGAAAAAACAGCACATAATTTTGCACCATGTGGACAAATACCACTTTTATTTCTTAATTTTCTATCATGTGAACAAATATCACTTTTACTTCTAAGACAGGTTGTGGAACAAACTCTGAAATAAAGTTCAGTGCATATCGCTGGCAAGGAGAAGGTTACTAAACTCAATCTGCTAGTTTGAAAATTAGAAAATTATGCATGTTGTTTAATACTAAATGCTTGGGGATGGAGAGAAGGCTCAGAGGTTAAGAGCACTGGCTGCTCTTGTAGAGGACCAGGACTCAATTCCCAGCACCCATATGGAGGCTAACAGTGGTCCTTAACTCCAGTTCCAGGGATCTGATATCGTTTGTCCTCTGCAGGCACACTGCATGACACGGGTGTACCTACTTACATGCAGGCATAACATTCATACACATAAAAAAAAAAAGAATAAATAAAATATTAAAAAATACTTAATACTCAAGGACTTAAAGTGTGTTCTTAGTCTTTTACTTAAAATGGACTGAAATGCAAGGCTGTAGGCACTGAAAGCCAGCCACGTCTGAAATCTCAAACTACTTAGTTATGTGTTTTTTCTTTAAATACTTTCATTTCTCAATATTCTTTAATAAAAGCTATATATCATAATATCCATTCAAAGACAGTATTTCATGACTATCTAAAGTTTTGGTCAAAGGGTATCTTATTTTTTAAATATTTTATCTATTATTTTTATTTTATGTGTATGTGTGTATTGCCCGCATGCAGGTAAGTGCACCATGTCGTGCAATACCCACAGAGGTCAGAAGAGGCTGTTGGATCTCCTGGAACTGGAGTTACAGGCAGTTGTTAGCTGCCATGTGGGTGCTGGGATTCAAACCCCGGTCTTCTTCAAGAAGAACCAGTGTTCTTAACTGCTGAGCCATCTCTCCAGCCCCTGTCTTTCATTTCTTTTAGTACAACTTTTCCTAATTTCTTTCATGCCTAAATTAATTTCTTTTGACTGAGGGCAAATAAAAATTTTTAAATGCCAGCAATACACTTTGGGAAAGAAACAAGGAAAACGCAATGTGAACAGAAAAGTTTAATAAGGAATATAGTAATAAAAACTCCCCCAAACTAGTGATACTGACTAACTGAACCAGGTCTGAGGTGTCACCTTTGTCACACTCAATTCACCAGGAATCTTTAGTTTAGCTTTGAAAGGCAAATGCCTTTTCCCCTCTTGTTTATTCCTATGACAGGAGGCTTTCTTACCGTGCATGGCATGTTTGGGGCCTGAGAAGAGCTTGACCAGGGCCCAGAAGGCATCTTCCTCATTCATGTACATGAGGAGTAGAGCTGTGATCTGGCTCATCCCCTGACAGTACCCAACTTCCTAAGGAAAACCAGAGATGGGGGAATTTAAAATCAAATTCCAGGTAAACAGACAAGATAAAGGTTGATTTATTAAATACCAGGAGATGCCTAGATGTATTAGTTAGTGGGCAATTGTAGAGATAAATATTATAAATTATATTATAAATTATAAATACTACAGCATTTATAGCTATATATATGTATAATCTACAGCATTATGGCACATATCATAAAAGAATAAAGCTGTGATCAAGAATAGACAGGTTTGGGGCTGGAGAGATGGCTCAGTGGTTAAGAGCACTAGTGGTTAAGGCCCAGGTTCGATTCCCAGCACCCATATAGCAACTAACAACCATCTTTAACTCCAGTTCCATGAGACCCAACACCCTCTTCTGACCTCTGCAGGCACTGCACAACATGGGTGCATACATGCAGGCAAAAATATTTTTTAAAATATTTTTAAAAAGAATGGACAGGTATAGGCAAAACCTGCCCCCACATTAAAAAAACAAACAAACAAAAAAAAAAACTGTGTTCTGCTTCTAATATCTATTGTTTCTAATGTAGAATGACTCATCTCTTAAAGTTGCTAATATTCACTTCATTGTATATATGGCTCCCAGATGTTGGCAAATTCTCCTGAAATTCCCAGTTTCATGTCTTGTGCCATCTCTATATTTCTACCCTTAAGTAGATACTTTTGGGATGTCCACTCTGTCTACGTTCCCTCTCTGGGAACTGCCTGCTCCCCTCACAGCTCCTTGCTTATGATGTGGCCTTAGGGATTCATGTTGGTGTCACAAGAACCATGGCTAATGGAGTAGATGAGGACCCCTGATCCCAAGGAGCAGTCAGACTTTATACTCTCAGGAAATCTTAAGAAAAACCAAAGAGATTATAGCCACATGGAGTTTATAGCCACACTGAGTCTATGGGTAAAATTTTAGCAGTGAAAATAACTAACAAGTAGGAGAGAGAAACAAAACAAGCGTGTCCTCATAATAATCAATGATACCATGTAGCCCCAGATTAGGAAAGAGAAAGCACAGCTCCCCTCTCACTGAATGCATTTTCCAGCACCTATTCCCACGAGGCCCAGCTATTACTTCACTTACGTAGGGAGTTCCTGCAGTAAATGCCTTTTAAAGTTTTCTAGTTTGAATAAATTTCTGCTCCTGTAACTTAAGGGTTTTAGTTACAGTTGAATCAATACATTCCAAGGGTCAAAGGTGGTCTTCCCTGGCAGCTAGTCAACGAGTATTTACTCAAGACCAGGTTAGGTCTTGGCCCAACTTATCCTCTCTCCAGAATAGTAGATGCCCTAGAAGCAATACAGCCAAGGTTTAGTCTGTCCACTCCTAGTGGACTCATCCTGGAGATAAAACATGATACTGAAAACCTGCTTAGGAGTCATGAAGAGTTAGCAAGTCACCAGCTCTACCTACCCCCACCATTCCTAGTCCCATGAGCCTAAAATATAAAAACAAAATAAAGACCACAAAAATGTAACCAAACAGAATAATGAGGAAAAAAGCAGCTCACTACCATCTTGTGGTCATATCTAGGTTTTTCTACTTCCAAGCCTAAGGCTCTAGAGTTATCACAGGAGCTATAAAAATACCCTCAGAGCTAAAAGGGGCTGTGGAGACCATCTGAGATGAAGAAATGAGTCTGGTGAGTGTCTTGTTACATAAGAAGTGACAAAAAGAATCTCTAGTTTCTCAAAATACAACTCAAAGAACTAGGCAGGCGTGGACCAACTTACCGTATTATAGATAGAATATGCGGCAAGAACATGGAATAAAGATTGTTGCCTAGAGAAATAAATTGCATTAAATCAATTTTGTTAGTGCGCACATTTTAAAATTATACACTTAAAAAACAGGTTGACTTAAAACAAATAGACAATCCAAATAAAACTAGTATTATAATTAGAACTGTCCCAGACTCAAATTGAAACAGAACTCTAAGCAGTCTAAATTTGAGACTATAACATTCATTCTAACAGAAAGACTTTATGCCCAACACACAAAGGTGCTAAAGCGTTTCTTATGTTTGTCTCCTTCTTTATTCTGAAATCATCCCGACAGAAGCCACATGTCTAACAGACTGTGGAGTGGCCTCTGAAGACCTGGTTAGAGACCAAGTCAGTGCAGTAACTGGCAGTACTGGGAGATCCCCCAGGCTCCCTGAAAGCCTTCAATAAAAAGTGCTATTTTTGATAGCCAGGAAGAAGGCGTCAAGATTGATAGTGGAAGCAGGAGAGCTGCACTCACTATATTCGTAACAATTCACTGGTACCTGAGACCTTAGGTCTGAAAGACCTGTCTGAGTGATGCAGGAGGACTGCAAGTTCGAAGCCGTTTTGGGCTACATAGTGGGACTCTGTCTCAAAAAAACAAAGCAGAACAAAACAGAAAAGAGGAAGGATTCTACCAGGAGATATGACCATGACTCCACAGAGCTGGAGGTGAAACCCCCACCCAACCACTTCAGGTTCTTGATGCTACTTTGGCCTCCTCATGCCTCAACAGGCAAAAGAGTAGCTGACTCTGATTGCTGCTGCTGCCCAATGGATACAAGAAAGATTGCATCTGGAATAAAAGACAGCATCTGGGGGATCTCTTTGCATGTATATGAGTAAAGAACTACAGCAACACAACTTAGGGAGATTGCTAATGGTCCAGATTGTTCAAGATTGAAAATCTGAGTACTTTTACTACATAAAGGACTATAACCAGCTGAAGTACTTGCTGAAGGCAAAGAAAATATGGATGGAGCAATGGAAGAAGATAGTCATAAATGACCATAGAAATGATACTTCTTTCTTAGAGGTTTGTAGGAATATGTCTGAATATTAAAATTTTTCTTCTTTCCCTACCATTTTATGTTAGAACTATTACTAAGTAACTTCATATCATGATATCTAAGATACAGGCTATCAAAGCAGAAGTGTGACTGTCAGCCAAGAAGTTGACATCTACTTGCACAGCCAGGCCTAACATGTTTTCAGCTATAAACTGAAAAGCTGCATCATGTTAGATGTGATTTGCTAAGATCTCATCTGGAAGTATGAATGGCTTGGGGGCAACACAAATGAGCACCAAGTTGACAAGGACAGACTGCAGTGGTTAGCTGTGTGTGTTAGCTTGGCTAGACTACAATTCCTCCATTGCTCAAACACTGACCTACGTGCTGCTGTGAAGGTGTTTCATAATTTTGATTAAAGTTCATTATCTGTTGAATTTAAGTGGGGAAGGTAAATGGAATCTTACTAAGTCCATCTGGTTTTCCCAAAAGAAGAGATCCAGCCACAGGACAGCAGTTTCAGCTTGTGCCCTGGGCTTCTAGCCTGCCCTTCCTGGTGGCCTCTATGTGTGTCAAGCCGATCTCTGAATATACATCTCCTACTAGTTTCTGTTTTGCCTGTTGGCAAATACTGATACACAGGTCAGTGAAATGGTACCTTTCATTCATAAATTGTCACAGCAATGATATGCCAGTGCACAGTACTAATACTGCTACACTCAATTCACTAACTTCCCATTTGGTTCATCTTTTGTTTCATTTATACGTGAAGTCAAGATTAGAGAGATGGATTTATTACTACTGATGATCTTTAAACACACACAAGTCCTCATTCCTATAAATGGCCTCAAACTTGCAATCTTCCTGCCTCAGCCTCCCTAAGGTCCACAACGTACTAAGAATTTTCAAATTGTAAAACGAGCCCTCACAAATTTTACATGTATTATGTCACTATTTTAAAAGTTAAATGCAATCAGATCCCAAGTTTCACTCAATTGGGATTCACATCATCTGCAAAAACCTTTAGGGTCTAAAAGGATCTAAATGAAAACTATAGTCCATACAAGACATTCTAAAAGCACAGTTTAACTTATTGACTCTGATAGACTATTTGTAGATGTTAGTCACATTTTATAATAGTAAACTTTACTTACTTAACACCGTATCTGTCTCTAAACATAATATGGTCCCTAAATGTGCGGTTGACATCAAGGTCTATTTGTCTGATATCAGGTGAACAACCCCGTGCTCTGTGTTTTAATTTCTGAAGAAGAAAAAGGGAAGAAAGCATATTTTTATGAAAATTACTTGTTGAAAATCTATGATGAATAATAAAATAATGGTCATTAAAAAATGGGGGGGGGGTAGAAAAATCATTCCCACAGTTAAAAAAGCAAACAAACAAAAGCCTCGGCCACATAAAAGGTGCACAAAGAAAACTTCCCTTTCTTCCCCATTTTCTACTGGTCCCTTCTGTCTTCCCTCACCTCTCCTTTCCATGGTATCAGTAGTGAGGATTCTGTTTAGTAGGGAATTTTGAGGGCTATGCATTACTCAGAGTGTGTAAAAGCTCTTCATGATTGAGCCACATAGTCTACAATTTTCTTTCTGCACAGTATTTTTGTTTCCTTTGGAATTAATCATTGCCTTGCTTCTTGATTTGTTTCATTTCTTCACCCTTGGAGCTAATTCAGTTCCACTGTATGTTATAGAGATTTCTGGTGAGATTTCAAAAGAAAAGCCACCAACTTCTTGAAGACTCTCCCAAAGCAGCCAAACATGCTTCTGCCTGGGTGGCTTGAACTCAGAGATGCTGCCCAGCTGAGGTCTTCATCATTTGCTGAGGCTTCCTAGGCTTTGCTCTAAGCTTGGGTCTCCCAGTTCCTAGGTCTCAATGTCTTACCTTTCTTGGTTTACAGCCTTGGCTCTGAAGAAATAAATGCATTCTCCAGTAGCTATTGTAAAAGAGTATACAGAAGGTGAAAGTTTGGAAACCTTGAATACCTGGTGATTTCAACAGACTGTTCAGTTGCTTTAGGGTTCTAAACTGTAAAGTCTTTTTGCTTAAAAGGCACTGCTTTATGGTCTCTGGGTCTCCTGTGTTGAATTCTTGTCTCCTTATACAGGATCTGTTCTCTAGAAACTGTGGAGAGCTGTTCTCTTCATCTCGGGAAGCTTCCCGTTTCTCTACTCTATTTGACTCTATTTTCATCACAGCCTTGGGCACCTGGTAGATCCTATCAATCCGACAAACTCATAAACCTCTCAGCCCAGCAAAACTGACTTTAATACTTCCTAATTCCTTCCTCATCCTCCCCTGCCCTGGTTCCATCTCTTTTCTGGAACTTGACTGTTGAGGTATGGGGTCTCCTAAACAGTCATCTTATTTTTCTTGAATTCTCTATTATTTCTCATATCTACACTTTTGAGTTTTATTTTCTGGAAAATTTCTTCAATTATTATTTCCAATTAAGTTTTTCATTTAAATTATATTAAGTTCTTTGTTGTTATAGAATGGTCCTTTTTATAGCATTCTATACTTGTTTTATGAATGCAATATCTATTTCACTTCTCTAATGATAGTAACAGCAATCTTTTAAGTTTTCTTTTTATTCTATGGTCAGTGTCTTATAGGTGCATTTTTCTACTTGTCTACCATGTCTCTTTCCTCAAGTGACTACCAGTGTTTTGTCGTCTGCTTTTATTTGAAAGTAACTATTAAACAAAGCTGTGTGCCCAGGTAGGGTTTCACAGTGGTGATCTCACTACAGAGTGGGAATCCAGAGGGCAGTTGCCATGAGGACACTGAAAGTCTAAGTCTTGCACTGGTCGCATATCCCAGAGGTCTCCACCCAGTATGTGCTGGGAACACAGGATCGGGCTGTTAATGCTCTTAAGGAACATTAATTTTGCCTGTCCAAAATTGGGAATATTACGTTTCTCTGCTTCCTGACAGCAATCCACCCTTAGCAAAGCTGCACCAGCCTCTGCTTCATATTCCCCCTTAAAAGAAACCTACAGTCCTGGTCAGTGTTGTAAGGGGACTTGGGGGCTCCACCTGCTTCTCCTAGACTTTCAACCCACTTCAGTGTTCAGCTTCGTCTTCATTTACAGAGGTACCTGCAGGTGGCAACTACCAAACCTTCTAGAGATGTGAGATACAAACGCTATGGTTTCTCCAGTTTCCCGCTGCCGGCACAGGAATTAACTTCCTCAGACTTACCGTGTTTACTAAAGGCCTGTCTACACACTGCTTTCCAAACACTGACAGCTGTTAATTCTTCTTCCACTTTCTTATTCCTTGAAGGTTTCCTTTTCTAAAAACTCTGCTGTCAACTTAGTAGCATTTCAGGTGGGAAAGGAGCTAAATTATAACTATGTTTCTTATCCCCCATGTTTAACCAGACAGAACAATAAAATTCCCGATAATTTGTACTTAACCATGTTTAAGTATAAATAAGCATCCGTAGACACATGTTAATATTGATCATGGGATTGATAATTAAAGTTTAATTCCTAACTTACGGTAAAAGTGGAATAAAGACCACGTGGGTATGTGTAGAATAAATGCAGACCTGGCATGTATGTGTGTGTATACTTTAAGTGGACTTTTGTGTTTTGAGGTGTGAATTCAGAGAAGGCTTTTAAAACGTAAGAGTGGATCCAGTGGGATAGTGTTTCTCTAGCATGCGAGAGGCCCTGAGTTCCATCCCCAGCACTGTAAAAATTACCAAAATAAATCATGAACAGTAACCACTGTATGTTCCAGAGTTCTGAAGACAGAGGAAGATAAATAAGAGGACTGTCAAATTCATATAACCAGTAAAATGTTATTTCTGTTAACAGAGAATAAGACACTATAAAAATTTTAGCTTTAGGAATAGCACTCTATATACATTTGGTCTCTTAATATCTTTTATTATTAAAGAAACAATGAAGGACAGAGGGGCCACTTGCTCTGTAGGCCTCCTGGTAAAAGATGAGATGTCAAAACACAGAAAAAAAAATTTGACAAGACATGATAAAAAAAAAAAAGTCTTAAAATTTAGCTGGAGAAAAGAAGATCCAAACATATCTATAATACCAGCTTCTCTCAAAGACATGAAAATCCATCACAACAAGGACCCTATGACAGAGGCAAAGCCCAGTTAAGTAGGCAAAAACAGTATAGGGCAGAATTGTTACTTATACCTCAAAATGTTTACAAGGTAATGTAGAAGATACAACGAATCAAGCATATTTCTTAGTTCCCAAAGGAAAGGAGGTAATCGGTTTCAACAGCTACCTCTGAGACTGGCTGGGTTGAGTGTCATGAATATCAAAATAACAGATGAATAAACATTTTCTCTAAAAGGAATGGATTTGATCTAATGAACCCATGAGCTAAGGGCAGCAGCAAAGTGGAAGGTTCTTAGATATAAGATCAGCACTAGGTCTATTGGGGTCCTCCCAGATCCCTAAGGCAGCCTCATACTATAGAAGAGTTTGTTACCCACCATGGACCCACCCTCTACCATTTGTAAGGTATATCACTAAATATAAGAAAGAGAAATACAAATAGGTCAGAGCCAGAACTGCCTGGATTTTAAATCCCATTTCTGTCCCTGCATGAAAATTTACTTCACCTAAGCTCATTTTCTAACCTGTGAAATGGAAGTAATAATGATAAGGAGAATAGTGGTACAGCCCGCCTAGTGTTACAGCAAGGATTAAATAAGGCAATTCTGGGGCTGGAGGAATGGCTAAGTGGTTAAGAACACTGACTGTTCTTGCAGAAGACCCGGGTTCGAATCCCAGCACCCACATGGCAGCTAACAGCTGTCTGTAACTCCAGTTCCAGGGGATCCAGCAGCCTCTTCTGTCCTCTGCTGGCATTGCACAACACAGGTGTACTTACCTACATGCAGACAATACACGCATACACATAAAATAAAAAAATAAAAATTTAAAAGATAAATAAATAAGACAGTTCCTATAGAGCACTTACACAATACCTGTATAGAAAGCACTCAAGGCAGCATCAGCTCTCCCTAAGGTGAAGTAAATAAGATGTTTCTAAAATACAGTAATATGAAGCTTTAAAATAAAACCAATCATATCCAAACTGGAGAGAAAGGATTAGAAAAGGTTTTCAAAAGAGCCTGGAAAATTCATCCCTCTCATTCTTCCCACAGAAGCAAAGTCCCCTACCACCTCAGATACTTTCTAGTCCATCAATTTATTTTTCTCCTTTCAACTCAGTCCTAAATTTTTGTTTTATTATGTTACATCCTAATCAGTATGTAATCATTTCTATAAAATCCCATCTCCTCCCATCTCCTCCTTCTTGACACTGCACTTATCTGTGTGCTACTCAGCACCTTACACAGAGGTCTGTTCCAAGAAAGACCTCACAAGTTAGCAGGTGAAGTTGAAGAGCTAAATGCTCATAACATGCCAGGCACCACCAGAGAAACACCTCGGTAAAGGACAGGTAAAGGACAGTTACTCCTGCTAAGATGCACTTCACGTGTAGAGAACAACCTGAGCCAGTTTTGTAGAGGGACAAAGAAAGAGTAGTCAGGGAAAAAAAGACATTCAATGATGATGTTAGCCAAATTAAACAGTAACTATAATGTTTCAAAGTGTTAAACATTATGAACTTGGAGCACTAATAGTCATTTGGTTTGTTGCGCTATAAGGTTTATTAAATCACTCTCACATTAACTAGTCACTGGGTGACTATTCTACGCAGGAAAAGGTCTAAATATAACTGAAAATTGTAGTCCTATTACTAACAAGTGTCCTCCAAATTTATGCCCATTCAGAATCTGTGCATGTGATTTTACTTGGAAGTAGAGATTTTGATGATGTGATCAAGTTAATGATAAGTATACAGTGCATTACAGTGGACCCTAAATCCAATTGTTAGCATCTTCATTGGGGAAGAAAGACAGATACACAGGAAAGATGGTCATGTGACAAAGAAGGCAGAGAAGGAATAACACAGCTACAAGCCATAGAATACTAAGGATTGCTGGCCACCACCCAAAGCCAGCAAAGGGTGAGGAGGGATTCTTCCCTAGAGTCTTGAGAGGCAGCCTAGTCCTACAAATACCTTAACTTCTGACTTCTATCCTCCGGAACCATGAAAGAATGGACTGGTGTGGTTTTAAGTCACCCAGATTGTACCCTTTGATTCTAAGAGCCCTAGGAAACAATCAGAGCATGCAGATAGAAGTACTCTGTATTTTCACTATTTTCCATGTTTACTACTTAAACAGATACTGAGTACCTGCTATATGCTGGGCACACCGCACTAGGTGCTGGTGTTTGCTGTATGCATTTTCTCTCAGACATACTTCATTTTGAACATGGGCTCTAAAATTATGTTGCTAATTTGAAACTATGATACCCTGAAACACAAACTCATTGCCTGTGCAAAATCCACAGAGCTGAATTTTTAAAATCTCGTATTCACATAAAACGAGTAAGTCCTTAAGCAGCACCTCTTACCTTTCACTTGACAAAGTTTCACCTTAGCTCATACATGAAAAAGAAAAGGAAAATATCAGGAGAGAGTAGAGTGCCTTTCACAATTGGTTCGGTTTAAACCATAGTTTTTCTTTTGTCCTATTTGTTCCATTGTAATTCATTCTATTTTATACACTTTCTAAGAAACACATCTTAAAAAATCTATGGGTTGAAATCTTAGGTGTGAAGCTCTTATTCCTCTCAAAGGTCAATATAAACTTAGGTTTAGAGGAGCATAGCTGGGGCTGGGGAGATGGCTCAGAGGTTAAGAACACTGGTTGTTCTTGCAGAAGACCTGGGTTCAAATCCCAGCACCCACATGGCAGTTAACAACTGTCCATAACTCCAGTCCTAGGGGATCCGACACCCTCTTCTGACCTCCGCGGGCACTGCACGACACGGCTGCACTTACCTACATGCAGGCAATACATGCATACACATAAAAAATAAATAAATAAAATTTTTTTTAAAGTTTAAAAAAGAGAAAGAGCATAGCTTAGTTGACAAGGAAGTAAAGGTAAAGGACATGTAATTTAAGGAAAGCAATATGGATCAGTCAGTCAAAAGTCTAACTTTTCATACATAAAAAGAAAATGGACACATCATAATAATCTTAGAAACAAATTCTTCTTTACCCAGTCTTATTGAAGAAAAGAACCATATGTTGAATAAACTGAATTCTGCTGTTATTTCTCCATAAACTTTAAAAGTGATACAAGTCTCTTTATTAATATGGTAAACAAGCATAAGCCACTTTTCCTTATGAATGGATCACTGTGTTTGGACTGATCATTTATATATTTGAAAAGCACTTGACTGCGGACTGATACAACACTTTCATTGAAGTATCTGTTTGAAATCTAAGTAAATTGTCAATAAACAAAACGAAAATATTAAGCATGAAAACCCCAGTAGACTACAATCTGAGTATGATTCAAGTGATGAGAATATCATTTTACCCTAAATGCTAAAAGAAATCACTTTGCATTTTAATTTCAAAGTCACAATTACTTGAGCTACTTACGCTATAAAGGTCTCTTGTTTCTTCTTTCATTTTGGGGATCTCAAGAAGGAGAGCCCAGACTTCACCTCGAAGCTGGAGTGGGATTCCTTTGTAAATTCGTCTATGAAACTGATTAAAAGAAAAGGAAATTAGAGAATACAAACTGACAACAGCTTACAACAGTCCCTTCCACTGACCCAATGAGTGTGTTAGTTTTTTATTTTCATAGTATTTATGACAATGAGTTGATAAATTTTCATTAGTTGATACATTCAGATTCTGTCACTTCTGTTTTTCTTCTGACCCTAAAAGGAAAAGAGACACAGAAGGAAAAAATAAACAAAACACTGCCACAAATGCTCAGTAAATCAATACGCTATACCACCACAAGTGCCCCATAGGGAAACCAGAGCAGAGCCAATGCTCCTTCATATATTGTAAACATCTTACATGCACTTCTTTATGACATACCGTCTGTTCCCACCCTCACCCAGGTGAGCCAAAGAGCAAAAAGGTGGCCTTGTGCCAAAAACATCCCATGGAATGTAGAAAGCATTGTCTAACCCCCTTCCTACCATCATCTCCCTGGGGCCCTGGAGAATAGATGGAGCTCCTTCCCAGGCATCTCTGGCCTTGGTTCAACTGCCCACCTTAAGCTCTGTCCCTTTATTTAACTTGCAGACAAAAACAGCTGACAAATCTCCATCAATGAAAGACAAAGATACCTCCTTACCCCAGTCTATGATGTGTGGGTAATCACACCCAGGGCCTTGCACATACAAGACAAGTGCTCTACCACTGACCTATATCCCTAGCACAAGGTACTGCTTTCAAATGAAATTAGGCATAAGTAATCATCATCATGTTGGATCACTGAAATGTGTATTGTGATTACCCTAAGAACTTTAAGATTTAATAGACTTCTCCATCTTCTTGTAATTATATTTTCCTTCAAGTCTATCCAACATAATACAGAAATCTATTAAGGCCATTACATGTTGTATATAACAACACTCTGAAATTTAAAAAATGTCCACACAAGGAAATGATTAACAAACTATGGCAGGAGCCCTTAAGGAAATTTTAAGGTTTTACTATTTTTCAGATTTTGCAATATCTACAGATACATAATGAGATATCTAGCAGATGGAACTCAAGTCTCAACATTATTTTATGTTTTATAAACAACTTAAATATATATCTGAAGGTAATGTGTGGTGTGTGTGTAAACCTTTTATTGTGTATGTGAGGAGGGGTGCATGAGTGTGTGTGTGTGTGTAAGCACACATATGTGCTCATGCATGCACAGGCCAGAGGACAACCTAGGTGCCATTCTTCTATTACTGTCTCCCTTTGTCTTGTGAGACACAGTCTCTAACTGGTCTGGCACTATGTAGGTTAGGCTGGTTTACCAGGAAGTCACGAGATCCACCTGCCTCCACTTCCCCAAAGCTGGAATTATAAGCAGAAGCCACCACAAGCCCAGCACCTGAAGATAATTTTATTCTGTATTTTCAGTTGTTTTGACTGTGACCTGTTACTTAAGTCCAGGTGTGGAACTTCCCATTCCTCTGAGTGCAAAAGAAGTTTCAGATTCTGGAGCATTTCAGATTTTAAAATTCCACATAGGGATGTTCAACCTATAATTTTTTGGGGGGGGGGTCTTTTTGAGACAGGGTCTCACTGTAGCCCCAGCTGTCCTGGAACTCACTGTGTAGACCAGGCTGGCCTTGAACTCACAGAGATCCTCCTGCCTCTGCCTCCCAAGTGCTGGGACTATAGGCTTGCGCCACCACGCCCGGCTAACCTATAATATTTTAATGTTATGGCTTAAAAAAAAAAATCAAGTTACTATGGTTAAATTCAAACAAAGAAATAGGAAAATTCCAGGTATAAATAAAAATTCAATGGTTTCTATGCTGTTCCAGAGCTAACAGGCAGAAATTAAAAAAAAAAAAAAATCCCAATAGTTCCTATGCTATTCCAGAGTTAAATTTTAATAAGTGAAAAAAGAATTATTGATGATGAACTGTTATTATCCTCACCTAACCCCAACTCAAACTGAGTGTTAAGTATGTACAGGAAATTATTTTAAGCTATTTGCTCATTTATCTCATTTAATTATACTAACAACCTAACTATACATATATGGAAAGCAAATTGTAAATAAGTTAAATAACTTGCCCAAAGGCAAACCCCAAAGGTTATCAATATTTGATGTCAACTTTGAGGGCTGGAGAGATGACTCAGTCAGTAAAATGCTTGCTGCACAAAGCATGAGGACCCACGTTCAGATCCCCAGGAAAAACCAGGCGAAGGGGCATGTGCCTGTAATCCCAGTGTTGGGGAGACAGAGACAGGAGAAAATTCCTAGGCTTGTTGGCTAGCCAGTCTAGTCAAATTAGTGAGCTCTAGGGTCAGTGGGAGAGACTGTCTGAAAAAATAAGGTGATAATACAAATTTAATATTAAACTGACTCCTAATGACTTATGTACAAGAATTTTAAAAACAGTTTTCCAAACAGCTAGTCAATTATTCACATGAACTCACAGCAATGGTGACAGCATGCGTAAGTCCCATGCAAGCTCAAACCAGACAAAATCCCAGCACAGATGTGAGAAAGTAGGTAAGAAACCCAACCCAACCTAAGGAACCACTGGCAATGGATGACCTGGAGGGAGAGTCAATCTTTTCCAAGTATGTGACTCTCAGTAGGTTAACCAGGCTCAAGTGGATGGACTCACAATGAAGGTCATCTGGGTACACAAGTTAGACTCTGCAGGCCTTATAATATATAATACAGTACATTAAATTGGGCGGGGGACAATAAGGGTAGGTGTGGATGGGAGGAATCTATATACCATCAAATTATATTTTTTGAAAATCACAAATATTCAATTAAAAATTTAAATAGATAAAGTGAGGGCTGAGGCTGAAGCTCAGGGGTAGAGTGCTTGCCTAGCATGTACAAGGCCCTAGGTTCAATCTTCAGCACTGCCAAAATAAACAAAAATGACAACAAAAACAGGGAAATCATTGACTAACACAGATGACTTGAACTGCAGCAACGGTTGGGCATTGGCTACTTGCAAATACTATGTCACTGTATGTAAAGGACTGCAGCATCAGTGGACTCTGGCCGCAGTGGGGTTCCTGGAGCCAGCCCCAATGATACTGTACTGACTTAGTCATGCTACACCATTTTTCTTCTCTTCTTTTCAATTATCACAGAAGTTTTGAAAATTTTGTAAAGTACAGTAGAAATTTTATCTAAGTACTGTTTATTCACCAAACAATAGTGTAGTTTACATCTGTTGATCTTTCAATTAACAAAGCATTATTTGCTATTTTCTCTAACAAACCTGTGATATAGGCATAGCAGGCATTTTGCACCCACAAGGAAGGAAATCAAGGTACAGAAAAGTAGCCGACAGGTCACAGTTCTATCTTTCTAAGTCCAGTTTGGATCTCTCTGTCAAACCACATGGCTTCCTAGAAATGACAATGTTATTAAAGTGTGCCACCACAGGAAGCGGCAAATGGCTCTGTTAGATGAGGCACTCAGACTGTCACGAAAGCTGATGGAGAATATGGGTAGGGCTTGAATGGCACGTGGGTTATGGGAAGCCAGTTTCTTTGTAAGTCAAACCATTAAGGGGTGGAGCCGATGCCATATTGGGCACCGGGAACGCGGACCAAGAGAGATCCGAGCTGGAGCGGGGTGGAGCACACATTTCAGATATGGAAAAGGGAAAGCCTGTGAGAACCGTGCTTTTCTAAGTCACCCCTCCCAAATGTCAATATGACGCCTTATGTCAGTTTGCTAGCTCTAGGGCCTCAGGACATGAGTATCCCAAGAAGGGAGGAAAAGGGAAAGAATTTGGTGAAACAATGGGCTGTTGTAGTAGTACCACAAATGTAAACAAATGTTGTAGTAGTACAACATTCTTTAAGAGGTAGAGACTGTCATATCAATTGTACAAGTTAGGAAACTAAGATGCAGAAATTAAGTAATAGTTCAAGTAAACTGTAATCAAAGTTCATATTCAGAGCCATGGAGACTCAAGTCTGGCATCTCAATACCCAGAAGGCTAGCCTGGGCTAAAGAGTGAGTTCCAGGCTAGCCTGCGCTACAGAGTGAAGCACCATCTTTAAAAAAAAAAGTCAAATGCCAGGTGTAGTGCCGCACATCCTTAATCCCAGCACTCAGGAAGCAGAGGCAGGTGGATCTCCTTGAGATAGAGGCCAGCCTAGTCTACACAGTGAGTTCCAGGCCAGCTGGGGCTACAGGGAGACCCTATCTTTAAAAAAAAAAAAAAAAAAAAGTCAAATTCAGTTAGTCTGACATCAGAACCTATCCATGGTCTTAACGACCACAACATAAAACTTCTATACACTGGATTTTAACAATTCTATATTCCAATTAGAAAAGTGTCACTTTTAAACTTTTTAAAAAGTTTTATTTTACGAGTTATTTATATATCTTTTTAAAAAAGTTTCCTGGAACCTATCTTTCATTTCTAGTATCTCTGTTCATTTGTCAAGAAAATTAAGTAGGCTATTTCAGTACTGAACTAAAATCAGACTAAAAAAGCTACTAACAAAAAATCTAATCAAATGACTCTTTACAGTACTCTTTTCCTACTCTTAGTGACCTTACAACAGTGTAAAAACATGCCAGTACACATCACCCTGGCAGCTAACAAGTCACTTTTCAGCCCACCAAGCTGGGCTCAAACGTGTAAGATTTTAAAAACCACCACAGGTATATGCTAAGAAACCAAAGCTCCCCTGCACTATTCACAGCCTGTACTTCCTCCCCGTTTGCTTTCATTAGACCCCATACTCCTCTGGCTCTGATTTCGAATAGGACCTGTCTCCCAAATCTGGACTGAAAACACTTTCCACTACTCACAAGCACTACTGCCTTTCATAACGCCACTCTGCCTCAAAAAATAAACAAATAGGGGCTGGAGAGATGACTCAGCTGGTAAGAGCACTGGCTGCTCTTGAAGAGGACCCAGGTTTGATTCCCAGCACCCACATCTATAACTCCATCAACAACCATCTGTAACTCCAGTTCCTGGGGATCTGACCACATCTTCTGACTTCTGCAGGCACCACACAATACAGGTGCACTTACATGCAAGCAAAATACTCATACACATAAAATCTAAATTTTTTTTTAAATTTTATTGTTTTTATTTTATGTGTATGAGTGTGTTGCCTGCATGTATGTGAGTGCACCCATGTCATGCAATTCCTCGGAGGTCAGAAGAGGGCTTCGGATTCCCCTGGAACTGGAGTTAAGTGTGGTTCGTAGCTGCCATGTGGGTGCTGGGAATCCAACCGGGGTCCTCTGCAAGAGCAGTCAGTGCTCCTAACCGCTGATCCATCTCTCCAGCCCCAAAATTTAAAATATTTTTAAAAAACAAAATAAACAAGTAGCAACAACAACAAAATAAGCAAGCAAACAAGCTAAGCCCTACTGTCTGTAGGAAGGCAGGCAGTCACTGTAAGAACACAGGCAATAGGATCCTCGTGGAAATGTTCATTAAAGCTTCAGTTCTAAAACTCCAAATATTCTCCACCAGAGCTATGTTTTTATTTCCATTCTCTTGTGTTATTGCTATGTAAGTAAGAACTCTGGAAAGAAAACATACCTACCTCTCTTTGGAAGAGACATTAAACAATAACAACAACAACAGCAACAACAACTACTCTGGTATTTTTTTACTTCAGTGCAATTTAAAACAAGGTATGAACTGAGCAGTCATTCTTTTAGAAGGTGCATTCTGTTTCTCAGCAAATTGGACCATATATATATATATATATATAATCAAATGATTCAAATGATTCCACTATTATAGTTATGGGAGAGTGCTTTAAAATTATACATCAAAGAAATAGTTCTGTTAAAATTTCTCTTAATGGGAACTGCATTAGGCAGAGTTGCTATCAAAGTAATAGCAAGCAGAAGTACCCATTTTTACAGACTTACTCCTGACTTCAACAGACAGATATATCCTAGAAAAGAATATAAAGCCATGTAATTCTACAAATACTTTATTAGACTGAATGTGAGACAAAAGTGTAGGCGCAATGCTTCGAAATTTACCCTACAATTACCACGTGAGCAATCTTTCCACAAAGGCAAAAGGAAAATGAGTGTCGGCTCTAGGGCAATCCGGGGACGGCGTGCTACTAACCAGGGGCGCAGAAGTTGTATCTAATTTTCTACTTTGAAGTGATTTCTCTTAAAAACGTCTTGCATTCTAAACTCAATGCTAAAACAAGAATAAACGATGTAAAATGAACTCATTTTGTGTAATATGAAATAGTTTTACTTTAAAATAAGGATACTCAGGATGCTCAAAAAGAGAAAAGGAAGTTAACCCCGTGAGATATCTCCAAACCCAAAGACTTCCATGGTTAAGTAAGTTACACATGATGTAAGATCCCTCCAAAAAACTCACAGCACATGTTATAATATTAAAGACTGAGGAGTCCTACAATAAAGAAACCTCGCTTGACTTTGTTTAGCTCTGGCTTTCCTAACATGACAGAACTACTGAAACAGAGTCCTTTCCTCTCTAATAAGCAGCATATCCTGACCACACACGAAGTAGTACCAGTCCATGTGTTTTTCACTGTTAGCTTATTTGAGCCTCACAAAAACTCTAAAAAATAGGTACTATTGTTACTCCATGTTTCAGATGACCACGCTATGTTAGAAAAAAGTTAGATACCTTCTCCAAGGTCATATAGTTAGTAAGCGTAGACTAGAGTTTGAGCTTCGAATAGTCCATCTAGCTTTACCTTCTCTTAACCTCTAGGACACACTGCTTCTATGCCATACCTATTAGAACCCAAAGCACTGATACTCTACGGACAAATGTTGACAATGTTGGCAAATGTTGACATACAATAATTCCTGTTGATACACGTGACTGGATGGTGACTTCACAGGAAAATGTGCAAGGAAATATGGGCCAGCAAGATGGCTCTGTGGGTAAAGGCACTGGTTGCAAAGCCTGACAACCTGAGTTCAATCCCCAGGATCCACATGGTGGAAGGAAAGAATCAATTCTTGCCAGCTGTCCTCTGACCTCCACATGCACACCGTGGCATACATATGCCCCCCCCCATATAAATGTAATTAAAAAATTAAAGCATAAGGAAATAAAAAAATTCTAAAAGTTTACAGTTGTGTTTTCCTATAAGGCTACATAAGACTCATTCCCTTAAAAAAAACTTTTATAATAAATAAAATTTTTTAGAAAAAGAGTAGGGGCTAGAGAGATGGCTCAGCGGTTAAGAGCACTGGCTGTTCTTGCAGGAGACCAGGGTTTGAATCCTAGCACCCACATGGCAGCTAACAACTGTCCATTAACTCCAGTTCCGGGGGAATGCCACAGCTGCTTCTGTCTTCCACGGTCACTGCACAACATGGGTGCACTTACCTACATGCAGGCAATATATGCATACAATAGCTATCTCTGCTGGATGCTAGCTATAGACTAGGCAGAACGCTAAATCCGTACGTTAACCCATTAAACCTTCACCCCTCTGAAATGAGCACTATTCTTGATATTTTAGATGAAGGAGCTGAGGCTTATGCCAGTGGTTTGCAAAGCATGAAGTCAAAGCCATTTCACACACAGTATGACCACAGTGCTACTTTCCATTTTCATCGTGACTTCTGCGCTGACAGGGGAAGGTCATGGTGTTTCAGCTGCCATGCCTGGGCACAAATCAAGGCATCAACAGCAGAATGTGGCTGTGCCACTGTGTTCTTCACTCACAGTTTTTGTTTTTGTATGTCAGTTTCATTTGAGAACGTCCCTGATAAAATAGCAGAAAACGTTAATTCTCAACTCCTGAGCACAAGTTGCATTAAGTGCTGACTGAGGAACTGGGAAGGACATGGAGCTTCTGCGGCTTAAGTATGATGGCTGCCTCAGAAAAGGTACTTATAAAAATGTTTGAATGACAATTTGAGTCAACTGCTTTATCTCACAAAATACCATTATTACTTGAAAGAATAACTGACTAACCGTAGTTCTATGGTTGTTCAGATTCTGAGGCAGCATTTGGCAGACACTTTCTCAAAATAAATGTAAGGATATTCATGTAAAGGAAGATGGTTGGGGCTGTGTCTGCTGTCACCGAGACCATCTGGCCGTTCAAGCAAAATCAGAACTCTGCAACGCATGCTACAGCACACGTGTGGCCATCAGAGGACAACTTTGTGGTGTCAGTTCTCTCCTTCACCTTTACATCTGGGGTCATCAGGCTTGCTCAGCAAGCACTTTCCCCCGCTGAACTGTCTTATGGTGATCTTGGTGGGCTTAAGTTTTAATCTGGGGGTGGGTGGTTCCCACTCTTACTCCTTTAATTGGCTTAAAACTTAGTATGAACTCAAGGCAAAGCAAAAAGAGTCTAAGGGGGAGCTTGTGGAAGCTTTTGGTAAAGAGACTGCTCCTACTTCCGGGAAGTGTTCAGAGGCCAGTCCTGTCCCTCTCAATCAAGGTGGCTGGTGGGTGCAAAGCCGGGAACTGGTGCGATGACTCTGACCTCAAGGGGAAGCCAGAGAGGAGGTAGAAGGAACTAAAACCCTACCTAACTGAGCAGCCCAATCTGACCACACCCCACCTCTGGACTATCCACCATAGCCTCTCAGTTGCCATAACTGCTCTGAACTGTTACTTCTGACTGACAAGACTCCTAAGGTAAAGCACTCTGCTTCCTTAAACCAAATCTTCAAAAATGAACGTGAATACAGCTTTCACTGTGAAAACCCACGCTGATTTACGCAGCTTCCCACGGAAATGCCACTATTTTAATTACCTTTGCGGTGCTCTTGCATTTCTCCACTATTTTAATCACCTTTGCGGTGCTCTTGCATTTCTCCACTATTTTAATTACCTTTGCGGTGCTCTTGCATTTCTCCACTATTTTAAT